TTTTTTTCTTCTAACCGCAATAAGCTCCTTTTAATCAGGTATGAGATGCTGTGTAAATTCTTCGATAGCATGGTGACTTCGATACGGTTGCTTCCATCGTCCACATTCGCAAAGATCCTCACCATGAGTGAGATTTTGGGGGAAAGGTGCTACAACTTCATCAAAGGAGATGACACTTATTCGCTCGTCTTGCTTCCATCGTCTTCTTTGTTTCCATGTTTAAGTGATTTTATGTGTCTAACTGAGACGGTTTCTGCATTTAGGTGCTTCACTTATGCACATTTTGCACAGTCGATGTACATAATGCCTGAAGCTATAATGATCAAGAAGGTGGTTTTGCATGATGAGACCACTTGTTGTGTGAAGTCAGAGCTTCAGATCACTCTGCAAGTTGATGCAGTAGCCGAGAACATCAATGGAGAAAGTGGGAGTAAGTATTCAATCCTGACGAAGCTCTTCAGGGAAAGGATTGTTGACTTCTACAATGGCCATCCACAGGTATTGCCAATCTCATCGAATCACCATCTTAATCAATTTAAATCTTTCCCTTAGGTTAACAGATTGCTTCCCTTTTCTTCACTAGCAAATGTCGTGAACCAATTTGCGCTTACAGAGTACTGTACTTTGTTTTGGATCCAAGAATAGGCTAAAATTCACTCTTTTACATGAACAGCTCTCCATTGGTTATATTTTCTTTTGGTGATTGTTTCTAGGAATCTCTAGTTGTAAGCAGTTTTATAGACTGAGATCGGACTGGAACCATACTGACTTCTAGTTTTCTCTACATCAGGAAGATGAGGTCCCTGAGGTGCAATTGCCAGATCCATTTAACCAAACAAAGCCAAGTGTACTTCCAAGAGCCTCAAACTTCAATTTCGAACCAACACGCACTGAGTCAACGTCAAGTGCCGCTACCCAGCAACAATTCTTAGTGCCGTCTCACATACCCCGATCTTTTCGCAGGTGGTTTTCTAAGAAAATTCCCATTCCTGCTTCAGAGAAAACTCCTCTTATGTGTCTCAGCCAAGCTTGGCCTAAAGATGATCTCTCTGTTTCTGCTGCTTCGTCTCCCATAAAATGCACCTCAAATCCACCCATAATCAAGAAGTCTTTGCTCTGTTCTTCCATTTCAAACACCTTATCGAGCAACTGTAGAATTTCTGAAGAGGAAACCCACATGTTGGTAAGAGCTGACAATAGTCCTCCAAAGGAACCAAATATACCAGAGGAGACACCTGCAAAAACAGTTTCCACTCCCTTGAGGTTAATGTGTAATACGCCAGAGCTTCCCACACCAAAGAGACGTAGGCCATCCCCTAGCTGTGATTCTACACCGTTGAACGAATCTTTGAAGCGTTCAACGCGGACAAAACTGTTTATGACTCCAGAAAAGAGCGCAAAAGCAGGGGAGGAAGAGAACACAGGTAGAAGTGTGTCTTCTGCTGCTGCTGATGACGATGATGATGATGATGATGTTCTCGATATTCAACCTGAATCACTCTTGTAATCGGTGAGTTCTTTGAGGTTTCTGCAAAAAATTATGAATTATCTGTGCAGTCATTTCACAATAGGTGCACCAATAAGCAATGATGATGATGACGATTGATTATGTCCTCATTTGTACCATTTTGATGATCTTACACTATGCTGATTAACATCATCATTTCTCTATCTTTTAGATACTTTTGTTTAGTTTAGCATTGGCTTCATGCTCTCCTCTGCCTAAAAATGTAGGCATTATGTTACAGCCGAAAGTTAATCACTGCATGTTCTTGTTTGGATTGCCATAATGTTGTTTTGGGTCAACATGAATTTGTGTGCGAGATAAATTTATATAACAAATTAAAAGTTATGGTCTGCGTTTTGGATCGTTAAACATACTGTATGATGTTCTTTTTTTTTTAGGGTAATGCTCTATACTGTTCTTTTGACTATTTGGGGAATGCCTTCATTTGAATAATTACTTTGGGAACAAGTCTTCTATTATGGGACTTTCTGTTTATTATTTCATGTTTGCAAACACATTTGTAAGAGCAATTGAAGGCCTGATTGCTGTACATTTTTTCCGATCCGGGAGGAAGAGCAGAAAGCAGTAGAGGAGGAGAAAGAGGCTGGTGTTGCCAATGCAATCAAAAGGCAAAAGTTGATAGCTTCTTTGCCTAATACATTTGACATGATTCGACTCATATTTTGCTCAAAGATGACATCTGCCATGACAAAGCAAGAGCCAGTCAACATTACTTTGAAATCCTTGATGCTTCTGCATGTAACATTAAAGCTTTCAGAGCTAAATTCCTGGGACTTGAATTTGTAGCTGAAGTGGAAGAACAGTTGAAACTCCTGCTAGAACTAGTTCCAGATTGGACCTCTGAAAAGATTGCCTACGGTGGACACATTTTCTGTGTGTAAGATTGCCTATAGGGACTTTCGATTGCTATGTTTCTGTGGCCTTATATATTGGCTCAATAGGGATGCCAGGAGAAAACGATGGTCAGACGTTGGTTCTTGTTTGCCTCAGAAACTTCTTTCGATTAATGCTTTACATGCATTCACTCAAGATCACAAGTCCTAACCATGCATTTGCTCCTGCAATTCATCATCTAGAAGAAGATTGAATTTTGTGAAGTAGATGTTCTGTGTTGCTACTATCTGTGATGCATGATTATGACCAGATAGTTACATCAAAATATTTACTGACTCATAAATGTTAATGCTTCTTGCAGTGTCAAAAAGAGATCAAATCTAGAAGAGATTCGACAAAGGTTAGCAGAAGCAGAGTCAGAGGACGCACCTAAAAAGCCTTTTTATCTCCCGCCAATGGACTCGGTACTTCTGATGACGCCAATTAGATCCACTGGTTGATTGTTCTGTGTTGGGACGACTCCTCTTCTCATAGCTTACATTTGACAAACAAGCGAGATCTCGAGAAATATTAAGATTGGAGTTGTACATATTGACTTCCAATCCTCTATTAGTGTTGAAGCACATTAAAAGAATGGAATTATATTTAAATATTTGTATAAAGATTTCACTACTTTGTCATACATATCAACGATGTCTTTGTAAGTTGTAGTTGACAGAACAACTTGTTTGAAAAGCTAATCAAAGTTTAGGTTGTCAATTAGTCATACTCCTGAAATATCCAACAAAACTATCAAAATAATCTTTGTTATTATGCTTTTCCTAGTATGTTTAACTACTGGTTCTGCAGTTGCTCATTTGACAGGATCATAAACATCAACCTCATCAATAGTTACACTCAACAAAATCCAGAAACTACAAATAAATTGCATGATTAGCACAGAATAAGTTTAAGAAAAGCGTTTGATGTGCATGCGTTCTCTATGCAGCTACTACATTTACAGAATGCAATTGACACATTTACAGAAAAAAGGTGAAGATTTAGAGTGGTGGTAAGGAGGAAACAACGCTTTTCTTGAAATAAAACATATAAAATAGGAGAAAAATCAGCCAAAATCTATATTATCGGTTGCTACCAAACACCTGAAAACATAGCAATACTCTATTCATATGCTTCGACTAGTGCTCCAGAGATCCAAAAAAGATCTTACATGAATCAATTACGGTCATATGGATAAACCAATCCAATTTGCGTAGGAACTTTAATATTCTACTGAATCAAGCGAAAACTATATTATCCAACATAAAAAAGTGATTGATAATGAGACACTAGCTAAAATCATCCTGATCACATGTGTTGGCCTTAACACTATAAAATAAATGTTAAATGCACTTTAACCAATTGATTTATACCTAGCTCAATCATACTCGAGCTGAGACCAAAATGAAACCGACATATATCTTCAATCTTGATTGGATTCCAATCAAGAACCCCACTCCAAAAATACCTTTTTCTCCAGCGCTTCTTACTAGCCCCTTACTAATCCAGTCTCTGAGGGCTTGAGGATTACCTGTCCTTCACATATCAACGTAGAGACCGACGAACAACATAAACAATAACACCACTGACAAAAGGATAATCAACCTCTACATGACAAATTTAGATCTTTCTAGGACTAATTTGCACATTCCTACTCCATAAAAACCATCTCATGCTGTTGATGATTGATAGAAACTTCTAACAAATACTAGACATTCCTCTAAACTAACAAGAAAATGCCAGTCACTTGCCAGAGGCCACAAGTACCATGATGGTTTTACCGCTCAAAATCCAACAGGATGGAGCTTCAAACATGCTCCGTAGAATTCTTTTGCAAAACATGCAAATAGTGCACAGGTTTCAAATGGGTTTGAAATTCCAGCAGGAGTAGCTTTGATCACAATGAAATAAAAACGATTGTTATGGCTATCTCATATACTGCCAAAATTTAAAATCAAATAAAAACTAACTACCACTAGGTATAATAGCTGGAACTATTTCATAAATTCAGAAATAAATCATTTCACCTAATACACAAAGTACATGATACATTTACAATGTTGGGCCAGATGACATGTTTCCAGTATTTTCAGCAGTAAAGACCAAGCTTCCAAGAAAACCCTTCCTTTCAAGTTAAATGATTAACCAGAACAAAGTGTTACGTAATATCCTGTCATGCCATATAGATCAAAATGCATAATTATCTCCCAAGCTTCTCAAAGCTATCAACTGCAGAAATCCAGGTGATCCATTGTATCTAGGGTTTAGTGTATACTAAACTTCTTGCAAGTCCATGTGATGAACTAGACTAAGCAGTGACTCTCATAACTAAAAAGCAGGTGGTTCAAGATGTAAGCTTCTTCAATTATTCTGATCTTCTGCAAGGTTGGTATAACCAAGTGGATTACATATGATTATGGAATAAATTGGTCGAAATAACTAATGAGTTTGCAGAAATCAAGTCCTAGTCAGTCGATGATGAGTAAATAATCAATGAGATCTTGTCTGGACAAGCACTTGAATTTTTCACCTTTCGGAATTCCGATTCACCAATCTTATGAAAATACAAGACACAACACATTAAATAAACACAAGAAACTAAATTTTCTTAACTAGAAAGCACTTTATTATTAAAACAGCATGTGAGTATATAAATGACAAGCCAGAGTTGTGAGACACTTGAAAGCATAGTAGATTCAAACGACAAAAGATGTGTTTTTAAACCATAGTTGCATCCTTTGAGCATTAAGATCACCTAAAGAAAGAGATAGACCTTCCTAATCTTTTGTACTATGAGACACTTCACACCATTTAGCACCGAAGTTGCTGACAAAGATAAGCTCAAGCAGGCTCCCCAAATCCAACTAAATGTAGCTCTGCATGAAGAAAGCCCAAATACGTTGAGATTACCCAATCAATAAGAAATGCGCCGTCTAAAGAGGGAAATGAGAGAGAACCTGAAGGAGGATTCAAGGGAGGGAGAGTCAAGAGCCGGCGTTGGGGAGAGCGGCCATGAAGGAGTTGTAGGAGGACTCGAGATCGAAGTGGAGCTGGCGGGCCTGCTGGTCGGTGAGTTCGTCGGCGGCGCCCATCTTGGCGAGGCGAGCGAGCCAGTCGCGGACCTTCGTGCGGCCCTCGAAGTCCGGGGGGAGGAGGCCGTTGCCGAGCTTTGCGAGGGAGGTGGAAAGGTCGGAGAGGAGGGGGTGGACCTGGTCGACGGCCACCATGTTGAGCTTGACGGAGTCCATGGCGGTGATGAAGTGCTGGACGCACTCAGCAACGGCGGAGGCGGAGGCAGCGGCCGAGGAGGAGCCGGCGGCGCGGTGCTCGACGGTGGCCGGGACGCCGGAGACGAGGAGGCGATTGATGCCGGCGGGAGCGTCGAGGCGGTAGGCTTCAGCGAAGCGGTCGAGGGAGGGGACGGCGCCGCGGAGGGCGGAGTGGAGGGTGCGGAATTGAGCGATGAGCTTGAGGCACTCGGCCTCGTACTCGGCGGACGAGACGAGGTCGCGCACGTACGCCTTCTCCAGCTTGTCCGTGGTCTTGATGATGGCGTACAGGTCGGCGAAGCTGTCGTACATATCCCGCTCCCGCTTGTCCCGCCACAGCTTCACCTCCTCCATCGCCGATCTCTCTCTCTCTCTCTAATCTATTCCTTATTCCTCTTCTTCTTCTTTGGATGGATCGATGGGTGAGGGCGCCGATTCGATAGATATCGATTTGGGCGAGGAAGAGGGGCGGGGGAGGAAGAAAGCGGAAAGTGGCAAGGAAACGGCGTCGACGAAACGGGATGGGAATTGGGATCGTCTTCAACCATGCTTTTAATCTTGATCATCTAATTCTTATCTCGGCCCCGTAATAGTCTAGGAGATTTATGGAAGATTGCGACTGGATCAAAGCCCTAAAGACTTTGTGATTAGCGCGTGCGGGGCAGGTGGGAAAGGGTCAGCGGAGACGAATATATTCTGTGGACCGGTCGAATCGCCCAAGAAATTGTTCGGGATGACGTGGCCTCTCAAACTCTTCAAACGCGTGGACCCCAAGCGGAGCACCCAATTCAGATCTTCTCCACCCAAGTCATGTTATTTTGAAGTAATACATGACATATTGAGGACAAAAAATTGCGGAGATCAGCTGTTACCTCTCGAGCGGGATACTGAATTCTCGAAGCAAGAAATTGCGAAGTGAAGTGGGCCCCACAAGAAAGACCAGTATCAGAGCACAAGAAAGCCGAAGGCTGTTTCGGAGAGGACAACGGAGCCGCAATGCAAGTACTCGGAGAGGACAACGGAGATCAGCTGTTACCTTTTAAGCCGGATACTGAATTCTCGAAGCAAGAAATTGCGAAGTAAAAGTGGGCCCCACAAGAAAGACCAGTACCAGAGCACAAGAAAGCCGAAGGCTGTCTTGAAGAGGACAACGGAGCCGCAATTTCTGTATTTAACAAAATGCGGTAAATTTTCCCACCTGATCGTCTCCCTATAATCGATCCACTCTATGTGATTCGCACATTCTCTCGATCACCGATGACAGGAGAAAGAGGAGCGTAGGATGGGAGGCGTTGCGTTGGCCTCTTGGAAGCGGATTCCCTCGCCTTCCCATCGTCTTGGATTTTGTGGATCCCAATCAGGTAAGCCGTCGCTGATCGGAATCTCGCCACGAAGTTGACGTCTTTGTTTGGGATTCGTCGTGATAGATTGTTCTGTTTTCTTGAAAATTATTTTGGGCATTTGTCTTTGGCGATTGTCTCTGGATGTTTTTGTTTTTCGTTTTACTCCGGACTTTTCTTGGATGGATCTTGCTGTCGTGAATGTTTTGTTCCGGAGGACGAGATCGTTGTCATTTCGTGCATTTTTGACGTTAAATGGGTTCCTTGGTTTGATCTTGGATAAAAGATGGAACATTAATATGGAAAGAAAGTTCCTAGGCGTTTTTTTACCCTAATGCCATTTTGTTGGAGATGTTGTCGTCCTTCCCGTGAATTGGACTAAATCAAATGTAATCTAGGGCTTCGTTTTCGTAAGCGGACTCTTTCTTTTCACGGTTGTGAGGAACTTAAGATGAGTACATTTATGGCATGTTTCTCAATTTCATCTTTAAACGCGGCCAGAATTCGAACTGTCAAATTATTGTAGTCTCGGACTTACAGAAATAGAAAAGGAACAGTAAGCGTTGCCGAGATACTTTTGCTACATTTATGTATTTGAAATAAAAACCTGGTATAGAATTGATCATAGAGCAAAGTTATTGTTAACTATTTGGGGTTGGCTATATAGATCTTTTCTTCTCGAGCTCCTTGAGGCCCTAGCTTTGTATGTGTGTTTATTATTAAATCATTTTACTGATGCTCTTAATCCCAGGAAAGGAACAGGGCGGCATTAGTCTGCAGATATCCAACACAAAATTTTGTTATGACAAATAAAAAAGTATGCATGATGAAAGAAACATAGTTTACTAGATGACTAAAATTTGATATACTATCTGAAGGCAGATATGGCAGAGTGCAGAGATATGAGTAATGACTTTGTGAAGTTAAGTATTTTTATACTATCAGGAAGAGGAAATAATGTAGTATAACCTTCATCAATTTGCTTAGTACAATGTTATGTCATTGGCAGCACAAGCAGCAAGTCATAGGATCATCATGTAGGAGGGTAGTTTTGCGATTGAAAATGGTGTTGGAAGGTTGAGATTGCATGCAACACAAACTCATAAAATTCTAAGAGTTGAGAAAGATATCTAGGTTACATTTTTTCTCTTCCTATGCATGTTAGAGGAGGTCACTTCCACTTTCCTGTTATTATAATTAAGCTTGGCTGATAGCTTTTCATGCTCTGCTTGTGCAACTTCTGACCTTTCAGAAAGTTTGTGAGGGATGTTATGACAAGATGATATTAGTTTCCCTGTTTTAGTAAAACCTTTTCGTATATGTGAGGCTGTATATCCAATGTACTTGTTCATCTTTGAGATTTATTACCACAGTAGTTATAATGTTTTGCATAATAAGTATCTCTCATTCATTCACGAACATGGTTCATTTTTTTCAGTTTGACTTATAGTGAGCTTTTAACTATAGCTTTGAATGCAACATTTTATGTCGGATATTTTCTTTTTGTGATCTTGTTTGGCTTTGTATTTATTGATTATGAAGCAGATGTCTCTTTACGTTGTAGATTGTTGGCACTAGCTGGCGTATGGAAATTTCAGAATTTAGTGTTTCCCCACTAAATATGGCACAGAAATTGTTGAAGTATGCAGTGTCTTTTTGTTTCTTTGCTAAAAATAATGAATGAGAACTTTGTTTTGAAGGTTTATTTAATTCCTGCTTTTTTTTGGGTCAGCAATCCCGCAACTTAAGTCCTCAAACATCTGGCCGCAGCCTTTTTCACTTTCCTGGTAAGCACCTTGTTGATAGATTCCACAATACCTTTAAATTACCTCTGGGTTATCCTGAGTTGCTTGATTTCTTCTTTTCCAAAGATTTTTTAAACTGAGTTTCTGTTGAAACAAATGTGATTTTTTTGCAATGACAATTAATTCAGTCCATATTCAACACTGATGTGAAAAATTTATCGGTCACATGCGATGAGAAATGAAGATAAATATTCTTGTTGTTAAAAATTGCAAAGATTAAGCCTAGATCTAGTTCTCAGAGATTTTTCACTATTGATTTGCACACAAATTCTTTCATGAGATGGTGCTATATGATAAATTTTTTTCCGAAGGATTTGGTATTTGTTTAAGTTTTAGTTGGTGACTTTTCCTAAATCTATTTTCCAATTTTCTCTATGGATTGTCAATGTATAGTGATTAAGATGCAAATGAGTCATATGGGTCCCATCCACCAACCCTGCAGTATGATTGGGAACAGGGATATCTGAGGTGCACATCATATGGCTCCCTGGATAAACTATAGATTTTATTACGACCAGATGTCAACCCGAAGTTAACCTTCTTAGGTTGAGCACAAGGAGCTTGCAGTCAAACCTAGCAAGCCAACTGGTGGATAGGAGGTCCTACATTACAGTTCAAAAGTTGCAGCCAACTTCTCTAAATAGAAGTAGGCAAGAGAGTAAAACCAACATGCATTCCTACTGTTATCATGCACAATGTTTTCGAACTGTTATTTCTAGAAATCCACAATCATCCTGTTTACTTTTGTTTATCATAGGCTGACAGGTGGTGTAATGTGTTTGACTCACTGAATCTTGGGGACTATTATGGATATCCATTTCTTATCCAAACTATATTGGTATGAGTCTAGGGTGACTATTTAACTAGCTTCTGAGCAGATTGTCTTTGCAAGAATACTAATGAGGAATCAGTTCTAAATCAGAGATCTGACTTTCTAAATAAAAGAACATTCTGCAAAATTATCATTCTGCTATTACAGACATTCTAGTAGTCTGAGTTTACATGTGCATATGACTTTATTTATGACGGAAAGATCATGGAAGCTTATAACTGATCCTTAGTCTTCAGTCTCCACCATGAGGTGGCAACGATGTCATTGCATGAAATAGTTGGACTTCATTTTTCTATTTAATCTGCCAATCAGCACTAGCCATAGTTATGGAGATTTCTGCTGAAAATAATAGAACAGTTCTATTGGTGCCTCTGCAGTCGGCTTCAGTGAAAAAAAGATGCTATTTGTTGGTGTGCATCCCCCATGTTCATGACTTCATCTGCACATATACATTTGAGTGTATGTGTGTGCATGCGCATGCGTGCATGCATGCATCCTTGCATACATGTGCTAGTGACTATTGTCATTTACTGTGTTACATCCTACACGTACATGCATGCATACAAATTTCTTTAGCAGCCTTGATGATAATTGAAACATAATGCTTCTTCCTGTTCAGGCTCTATCACCAGATTCACTACCTTAGCAGCACTGTTGAAAAGAAAATATATGCTTTTTTCAAAAAAAAATAAAAGAAATTTTCATTACATTAAAAAGCATACTTTACATGAATATCATGAGTGTAACAATGTACTTATCAATCGGATCTTTCAACAGAGATATTAAGGTATGTGTTGATTATACATAATTGTTTCATTTTTTTTAAAGTATGATTGGTGGATATATGTTTTGATGATTGATACATATTGCTTTATATCTGCTTCAGCTAAATTCTTGAGCTCTGTCACTACATTCTGATAAGTGTAATATAGCTTTAGCTGTTGTCGACATAAAGTCATGCATGCTATGCATTGTTTGAAGTTGCTCCTTCAAGACTTGGGGGGAATTTAGTTATAGATTAGATTAATTGACATAAGCAAATCAAAGCCAATAATGTAGTATTTGTAATTAAATTCACACAGTAAAGTATGTGTTTCTTCATGTTTTAGTTTAACCTTGTTTCTCCTGTTCTTGGATTGTGTAAACCTATATAAATGTCCAGTGCCACAACAAGCCAGTGTTATGGAACTCCAATGCAAAATGATAACTTTTATGGTACTCAAGATTTAAAGTTATGCAATGTATTTATTCTGCCTATATCACTTGACCTTCCTCTTAAATATATCATCAACATTGTTAGTTACTTGTACCGATACCATGTATTATATTATATATAAACACACGGATATATATAGCATGTTTTTGTGCCATACAACAGTGCAATATATTCACCAATACAGAGGTGCCACATCCGACATAGCGAACATGGAGGAGGATACCGTGGATTCCAATCCAAGTGTAGCCCATGCGGCATGGTGGAAGGATGGATGGATCCCACGGTGAGCAGTCCCTGTGGCCGTTCCTTCTTCTCAAGCCATATTCCCACAGTTACACTACTGAGAAGTAGTGCCATCCCCTCCCGTAAGTCACTGGCATCAGATTGCTTCACCACCAATAAAGGTCACAGTGACAGCCATAACCCACCCACCCAGATTTCTGTTCTGACGCCAACTTCCTCTCCAGTTCCTACTCTTCCCCTTTTGTGCCCAAATAATCACCACCCATGGCTGTGACCAATCCATTCTTAATCTCTCTGAAGGTACCACCTCAATCAGCAGCAATGACGTGTGTCTTCCCATTTGTTATGCAGGAATGAATGTATATGAGAGAGAGGGAGAGAGAGAAACCCAACTGGTCAACAACTTCAGTCGAAGGCACCATATAGAGAGAGAGAGAGAGAGAGAGAACCCAACTCGTCAACAACTTCGGTCGAGGGCACCATACTCGTTCCAGTCTTTCCCCTTCACGAACTTCTCCCCCTTCGTCTCCAAGAGAGAGGGAGAAATTAGAGAGATATCATTCATTTATTGTGCTGTTGTGTAAATTGCAATCGAGGGGAAGTGACAAGATGAAGGGATTTGGCAGCACAAAGTTGATATTTCTGCAGCCTTCGTCCATCAGCAAGCAAGGAGGCAATGGGATCACCACATCCATCTCCATCTTGGTCTCCCACCATCATCGCGTTTGGCTCCTCGCTCTCCTCGCCTTCTTCACCTTTGTCTCCCTCGTTACTCTCCTCAACACCACCACTGCGAGAGATCCAAATGGCCTCCCCTCCTCCGCTGTGTTGTCTGCCGGCTCGGTCTCTTCTCGCCCGCCGCCGCTGCTTCCCGCTCCCGTCTTCGATTCGCTCGTCAACTACGCGGTGTTCTCCAACTCCACGGGGAAGATGGAGGAGGGCGACCTCCGGAAGGTCGCGGGCGTGCTCCGGCTGCGGGGGCCGTGCAACCTGCTCGTGTTCGGGTTGGGGCACGAGACGCCGCTGTGGCGCGCGCTCAACCACGGCGGCCGCACCGTGTTCGTGGACGAGAACGAGTACTACGTCGCCCACGTGGAGGGGCGCAATCCCGGGGTGGAGGCCTACGACGTGGCCTACACCACCAAGGTCCGGGAGATGCCGGAGCTCATCGCCGCCGCCCGACGGCATCGCCGCGGGGACTGCCGGCCGGTGCAAAACCTGCTCTTCTCCGACTGCCGTCTCGCCATCAACGACCTCCCCAACCAGCTCTACGACGTCCCCTGGGATGTCATCCTCGTCGACGGGCCGAAGGGGTACTCGGCGACGGAGCCCGGGCGGATGTCGGCCATCTTCACGGCCGCCGTCATGGCCAGGTCCGGCGGGCCGGGGCACGTGGACGTGCTCGTCCACGAATACGATCGAAAGGTGGAGAAGCTGTGCAGCGCGGAGTTCCTCTGCCCGGAGAACCTTGTGGCCGCTACCCGCAGCCTCGCCCACTTCCGCATCCGCGGCGGTCCCGCCGATGAGTTCTGCGCCAACCAGGCCGACACCGCGTCGTTGTCGTCGCCGGCTGGCGGCAAAGCCGCCGCCTCGTAGTTTGTCTTCTGCCGCGCCTGTGACAGACATTAGGTCAACTGTCCTCGGTAAAATAAAAGAAAATAATTATCAGAAAAAAAAATAAATTAATTATTTCCTAAATTA